AGTACTGCGGTCATTAAATGAATTCATACTGCCAAAACTCGTTTAACTAAGGGTAATTCGCATAGAGATATGGAATTGAATTAATTAAATAGGCCCAATGAGAATTCGAGAGGGGTAAATTGAATAATATAGAAGAATTCGATCGAACACTACATTAGGTTATGAATCTTGAATTAAGAATAAAGGTGATCAATAGATGAAATTGTTTTACCCTAATATTCATCATATATTTGAATTTTTAATTATCCATTGTTTGCAATTATTTTATATTTTCAATTAGTCAAAAGTAGTTAGGAAAAAATAAAAACAATCATCATAAATATTTACTTGCTTTTGTCAAATAGGAGTTAAGAAAAATTATATTAAGTTCTAAGTATAGTCCTCCTGGGAACGATAATCCAGTTTCAAAGGTCCACTATATTACTTGTTACGATATCTTACATTTGCGATATAAAAAAAGCTACAAGTTTTTGGCGCTGTTGTCGGGGACTATTTACTTTAAGTCTTAGGTAGTGTTTGATAGGCATTAAATTCCATGTTCCATTTTTCACTTTTGATAGTGTTTGATGGACAACATTTTGCTACCCAAATGATTTCCTCCTTTGAACCTACGCTTCTGGTTTTCCACCCAAATGTTGAAAGTGTTTTCCTAACTTTTTGATGGGAAAACTGAATTCCAGGTTTTGGAATTTATTTTTTATTTTTTTTACAATGAAAACTAATTCATAACCAGTTGTAATTTTTTTTTCACTTTAATAGACAATTTTCATGTAAAACAAAGCCAAAGGAACACTAAACTTTGATTAAAAAAAATGATTTTTTTAGGAAATTTCTTTTTTTCCTTTTTTTTTTTACTTNACACTAAACTTTGATTAAAAAAAATTATTTTTTTAGGAAATTTCTTTTTTTCCTTTTTTTTTTTACTTTTTGACAATGGAAACAAATTTTATAACCAATTGTGGAAAAAAATATCACTTTAATGAGCAATTTTCATGTAAAATAAAGCCAAACGAACACAAAATTTAAAACTTTTTCGGGTGAAAAATTATACCAATCAAACACACTTAATCAACAATTCCCTGCAAAATATTTTCTAGACAATTATTTTCCCTGAATTCATTTTCTTTCCACCCATTTTCCACCCTTGCAATCAAACGGACCCTTAGTTTACTTTACCTTTAACTGTTATTTGATTTGATTTTATTCTACTTTCTTTCATTAAAAAAAAAAAAGAGTATTTGTTGTATGCTCCGTACCCAAGGCGGGGATCTTGAACTGTTTGATCGGAAATAGAATGTACTTTCAGACGAAGACGCAGGGAACACAAACAAAAACAAAAACAAAAACTTCAAATGGCTGACGGTCAAAATATTCCTATTCCTTCAGCCAATTGGACAAATGGCCCCAAGAGTAGCTGAACTAAAGGATCGGCAGTAGGAGCGAAGGGA